TGCCCGTGTTGGTACATGGTTACTGAAAGCTATTTATATACAAAATTTCAAGAAATTCGAATCTCCCGTTCGCCAGGTTATCTGTCACAAAAAAGGGATTTCTCTTTATATAGGTAACTAGCATAGACCAGATAAATTTTACCGCGCCATAGTCCGGTGGCGGTACATTGAATTCGTCGTCTTCGACTGGGTGCTCGCGTTACACTCCTTCGCTGGTTTCAGCGTTGTTACCATTCAATAGCATTAGACGGTTTGTTGAAGAATGTTCTCAGAGAGCGGAAACGAGAGTCGCATGGAGCAGGCGCTGAAAGTCTCTTGTGATTGCAGCTTTTCAACGTTGAGCCTTCTTTGTGTTACTGGACGCACATTTTTTGCTGCGCAGATGCCTGTACTTACCTTGGATGCAACAAGATAGTGCCCTGAGTTGATCTGTGTACGTCTAGAACACTGAAAGCATTTCATCCGACTGCCGCGACATTATCGATTTGCTTTCTCGTTTTTTGATCTAGGGATATCCACGTATCTTGATTGATCTTTTTATGCCGGGACCTAGTACTGCTTCCTACCTAGTTTCGAGCCCCGGCGAAATCCATCGGCCTCAGTTATTGCGTTATTGAACGCTTCTTAGTGCAGGCTGAACTTCCCACCGGAGGGACCAAAGATATCTTGTCTACCCTGGCATTGAAATCGCTTAGCGCAATTTTGATTTCGTTATGGGGGCATCGCTCGTATGTGGGCTTCAAACGCTCATAAGAGAGATGATTGGAAGTCTCGTCCTTACCTTCCGCCGAGGCGTGGTCGGAAATGAGCAAGATGTTGATGACGCTCGTCCATTGGGGTGAATGATAGTACTCCACGACGGAATCTCTCTCCACCGCATTTAATCGAATTTTGTCTCCATGAGGACACCAACCCCCAGATCATAATCTTTAATACTTTTCCATGGTCGTTATCAAAAGAAGAAGGAAGGGGTCGCAGCGATGCTTTATTTAACTTTTAATTGGGATGGTTTTTGTACGTGCCTTGGAACCCAAGCCCAGCGCTCAAACCATTGCTGTGAAGTTTCGCCCCCTCACAATTAGCTCGCTTCCGGACGGGTGTTGGGTTGATAACCAGATGACACTTGGTTTAAACACCCGAAGTTGTGAGCTGCTTGAGCTGGATGGAAAATAATAGTTTTTGGCCATTCCCTAATGAATGGCGATCAAAATTTTTTTTTACTTGCATGGACTTCTACACCCAGAACCACAAACTTTCCAACTTTTAATAAAACCTTAAAAAGATATTCTAGAAAAAAGTAGTACATCCACTTAAACAAAAGTGGAAAGCATTTGCTTAATGCATATTTGGTGGGTTTTAGGTTTTGCAACAGAACAATTAAGGTATTAATTATTTTTCGACGAACGTTTAAAACTAAACCTTGTCAAAATGGAGAATGAACGTTGAACCCTTATGCTGGACTTGCTACCTTGGATTGATCTTTGCATACATAAGGGTTAAAATATATACATATATTAGGGATGGGTTGGTGGGGACTGAAACTAGATTTTTTATGAATGTCGAACATTCCCCAACCATTCGATTATTCGATTCGAAATTTGGTGGTGAAAATTCGATTTTTTCGAATTAAAAAAAATGTTTACTGGAAATTTAAAAGTTTGTTTATAAGAATGTAACTGAAATCGAAAAAGATATTCAGTTGAACATATGTTAATGTGATTAACTATCCATATCGCCTTTCTTAGCTTCACAAAAAAAATAAATACAAATAAGTATTTTAAAAAAATAAATAAATAAAAATATCAGAAAAATCCAAAAATGTAGAAAATATAGGGTATTGAAACTAATTTTTTGGGACGTATAATGTGGTATTATTTATTTTTCTTGCTTTACAAAAACAAAAGAAATGTCAACATACTTCACGTTACAATGAATAAAAAAGTCTTACATTTAATGACAACGTATGATTTCATTTTTAAAGCGCGATCTTTAAGTAAACAGTGATGAAAAACGGAATATCTATCACCTCACAGCAAAATTTGACGACAGTCTTTGAATCTACATTTGGTCAACTTTTAGGATGTATTTGACACCAAGTGAACAGCTGTTAGTTAAGGAAGTTTTTGACGTCAGTTATTTCGACATAATGAAAACCAAGCATTAGATACAATTTTAAGACCACAAAGAATTTGAAATCTTATTTATTTCTTATGAACTGATTTATATAGCTGGGATTTGTAACTATTTAAATCAACAAATACATTTCACTGTGAGTTAATACTTAAACATTTATAATGATGTGCAATGATTTCATTGACATTAATACACAATTGAAAAGTGAATTAATCTCAACGACATTAACACACAGACCATATTTCCGAATATAAATAACAAAATTTATTGTTATAACATTATTTCCACATGTTACATACCTGACAGTCGTACGTTTCATTAAGATAGAAACAAGGAAAAACATTTGTTTTCTTTTACTTTTTTGGGGACTTGTATAGCTCTATATTTAACCGAAATAAATAAAATAAAATAAAACTTTTTAATATACCACGCTTTTATAAATGGACTAAAAATTTGAAAATAATATACTTATCTCAGTCCCATAGAATTTGTTTTCATAACTTTTGATTTTGAAATTTTAGCAAAAGTCATTGGGCGCGTTTCTAAGATACAACTGTTTACCTCAACTGTAGCGGAAATGATGTCAACTGTTAGGTCCAACTGTTAGGTCTTAAAAACGGTATGATAAATAAACTGCCAAACGAGCAGCTGATATTTGTAAACAAGCAAAATTAAATAAAACGGCACAAAAATATATACATACAAGTTACGGACGTCAAGTCCGTATAAGTCAAAAAAATTAATTGGGCCAGCCGCCCAAAAGGAAACACAGACAGGTTAGGAATTCACTTAGGTTTTATTAACACTTAACTTCTTACTCCTAAGTCTAATACTAAACGTACTGTATGATAACCCGTCCCGAACTCGACTGCCTGCACGTTGTGGCCTTTGCTTGCTTCCCACCTTCGTTCTCCGGCAGCGACGCAATGGTTGCGTAACATGTTTACAACCCATTGTCTGAGACTCGATTTGGCCTTGACTTCCCACGGGTGCATTATGGAATGCAATTGGCAATGTCTCCCGTTACACTATATGGTGAAATTAAAATATGCTGACACTGCGGCACGTGTAACGGCCAACCGTGGGAGCGTCGCAACAAATGCGACTGGTGCGTGTTAACTTACATATGTACAAAGGTATTAAATTTAAAGCATGTATAGCTTTTTTATTATCCGCATCGGCATCTATAACTACAACCAATTCCGGATTAGCCGTGGATTCAGCCACATATTTTTTTTTTATTCAACTAGAAGAAAGTTTAATTTACAAGGAATTTACATACATACATATGTGCTTATGTATGTAAATATATCTGTGATCGTGTGGTATGTAAGCTTAAGTCATAAGGCTAGCTTTAGCATAATACACCATTTCGTTTGTTCGTTAAATCACAAAGAATATTGAATGTTGAATGTTGTATGTCCAGACCACCGTATACTATAAATATAGTAAAGGTATTTATGGCAAACCTAGTCTAGATATCAACCTATCGTAGGTATCATATCAAAGACATACAATTAGAAATACTCTAGAGATAGATGTCGCCTCGGTAGAAGAAGTTAAAAATATTCACTACATACGCTACAGCGGAAATGGACGACACGGCATTTCTTTAAATGAAATTAATTGCTGCTATATGTATGTATGTACATATGTAGGCATATACTAACAGGCCTATTCTGCTTGTAACCGACCATTTTGTAACAAGCTAATTTTGTTACCAACAATTGCTACTACTTCTTGTAACCGCAATTTTATTTACCTTGGTAACGTTTTAATTTATTCAGCAATTCAGCTATGGAGTTTTGTGTAAATTCTGGTGTTGCATATTTCACGGGGCAATCTTTTGTTACCTGCTCATGGGATGGTAACAAAATTTACCGGTTACAAGAGTGTGTAAGAGAATACGAAAAGGGTTTAAAAATTGACAGTAACTTTACTAACCGGTAACAAAATTTTTTTACCAACGCAGAATAGGCCTGTAAATGTGAGCAAACAACATTTTGCTTGCATAGTCTTCTATTCTCTTTTCACTGCAAGTTGAATTATTTTAGTATCTATTGCAAAATTTTATACAGACAAGACTAAAAAGTATAAAATAAATTTAAAAAAAAACTTTTTAATGTACCACGCTTTTATAAATCTACTAAAATTAGAAAATAATATTTCTCAGTCCTATAGAACTTGTTTTGATANGAAGAGTATAAAATAAATTTAAAAAAAAACTTTTTAATGTACCACGCTTTTATAAATCTACTAAAATTAGAAAATAATATTTCTCAGTCCTATAGAACTTGTTTTGATAACTTTTGATTATGAAGTTTTAGCAAAAGTCATTATAAACAATTTATGAGATTCAAAATGAAAAGTTATCAAAACAAATTCTATGGGACTGAGATATATTATTTCATTATTACAACGCTTTTATCAACTTGCAATGTTGTATGTCCAGACCGCTTTGAATGTTGTATGTCCAGACCACCATTTATACTAGCTGCATTTTTTTGTAAGCGAGCGACAAAAAAACGCTCAACTCGGGTAAAATTTTCTTTTAGCTACTTAACCTTCCTATACCCGCGCGTTGGTCTGTGAGACCGAGAAAATGATTTTACGTAAATTTTTGTTTTTCCAGAAACTCTACAAAGCTGAATTTACTGCTAGCTTCCGCTTTTCTTGCAAGCTCTATATTAGTGTTGATTTGGCGTTTGCACTAGACAGGCGTGTTGGTGAATTTTATAAAAATTGGTCTGTGAGACCGACGCGGGTATATGTGTAATTTTTTGTGAAGTTAAAGCAGTTATTTTGTTTTTTGTTTCTTTCTTATTTTTTTACGTTTTACTATTTTGCAGGTACTTTTTAATATTATAATGAATGAAGAGCAAATCAGACTACTTTTGGAGGAAGAAAATTCGACTTCTGATTATGAGGATGAAAATGACAGCGACGTTGAAGACTTTGTTGCAGGAGATGTAGAAAGTTATGATACCGAGCAAGAAGATGATGAAGAATGCGACGAGGAGTTGAATGAGATAGATGATAGAGAATTTTATCTTGGTAAAGATGGACACACTAGGTGGAATAAAGATGCTCCGTCAAATCGTGTAAGACGTCTCGCTAGGAATATAGTCACTCAACTGCCAGGGCCTAGAAAAGAAGCAAAAAACTTCAAGGAAATAGGCGAGGTTTGGAGATTATTTTTTACTGAAGTTGTTATAAATCGTATTGTAAAGTATACTAATGAACATATTGATCTCATAAAACCTAATTTTTCAAGAGAAGGCGACTGTACCTATACAGACAACATAGAAATCGAAGCCCTTTTAGGCCTTTTAATCTTTGCTGGAGTTAGGAGGAATAGTCGCTTGAATGCTAAAGATTTATTCAAAACAGATGGTTCCTCTCCGGAGATATTTCGATTAACTATGAGCTGGAATCGATTTTATTTATTAATGCGTTGTCTAAGATTTGACAATAAAGCCACGCGAGCTGAAAGGACTGCCGTAAATACTACAGTGTGTCCCAGTTTGTTACAATAGATGACAAATTGGAGGCTTTTAGAGGTCGTTGTGGCTTCAGGCAGTACATCCCCTCAAAACCAAATAAATATGGCATAAAAATTTACGCCTTAACAGATGCCAAAATGTTTTATACCTCGAAAATGGAAGTTTACGTACGAAAGCAACCTAGTGGCCCATATGAAGTTGATAACTCGTCCATGGAATTAGTTGTACGACTAAGCGAAAGTATTCACAATTCTGGCCGGAATATCACATGTGATAACTTTTTCACTAGTATCCCATTGCTGGATAAACTTGAATCTAAGCACAAACTGACCATTATTGGGACAATAAGGAAAAATAAGAAAGAATTACCCAAACAATTCACCGAGATAAGAGGACGAGCGGAAAAATCCAGCTTGTTCGGACACCGTGGCAACTGCAGTCTTGTTTCGTATGTTCCCAAAAAGGGGAAAAATTTGCTTATTGTATCGAGCATGCATGCTGGTGTTGAAATCAATGAGATTACTAATAAACCAGAAATGATAATGGACTATAATATGACGAAAGGCGGGGTTGACACCGTAGATAAAATGTGTGAAACGTATAATGTTGCTCGAGGTACGAATAGATGGCCCATGGTTATTTTCTATAGCCTTATGAATGTTGCGAGTATAAATTCATGCATAATACATGTACAAAATAATCCTAGTAAGAAAATTAACCGCAGAGCCTTTCTTGAATCTTTGTCGTACGATCTTATTAACTCGCAACTTCGACGTCGAGCTCTAAACAGTTCCTTGCCTAAAACCATCAAACTTCGGCTCTTTGAATTATGTAAAATAGATGGCCCCGAGACTTCTGGAACATCGTTTAATAAAAGTGGTCGCTGTGGATACTGTTCCTCAAAGAAAAACCGAAAAACGCGTTACAACTGTGCTACATGCCGACAGTATTTTTGTTTGGAACATGCTATTATGGTGTGTCCTGAGTGTTTCCGTAAGGATAATGAATAAGATAGTTTGACGTTTTTATTGCAAATAAATATTTTTTAAGCTAGAAAAGGCATTTTTTGTTTTTTTTTTTGAAGAGGTAAAAGCGTAAGTTTTCTTTTTAAGGCAGATTTTTACATGAATTGCGATATGCCATGATTTTTTATTTCAAGACTAAAAACTAATATAATTTATAATTTATGTATTGTCCAAGAAGTGTTTTTAAGTTATTATAACTTATTTTTATTTATGTGAATAAAAAAATATGTTATTGTTTTGTTTTTGTAGTACTTAAGAAAAAATTATCGATTTTGATGGCTTTTTTGTTAATCACTTAAAATCAATAAAATAAGTGAATACAAATTTAATGCGTAGTTTTATTTTTTTATTACATCTACGGGATTGAAAAATAATAATTTGTTTTTAGTTTTGTTTGAAAAAACTAATATTTTATGTAGTTTGAACTTTCGGTCTGTGAGACCGTGCGCGGGTATATGTGTTACAAAAATTAACGCGGGTATAGGAAGGTTAA